ATGTCTAGTATTAGAAACGATAAACAACTTACACGTAATCAGCGTGTCTAGTAATCGAAACGATAAACAACTTACACGTAATCAGCGTGTCTAGTATTCGAAACGATAAACAGCTTACACGTAATCAGTGTGTCTAGTATTAGAAACTATAAACAACTCACACGTAATCAGCGTGTCTAGTATTCGAAACTATAAACAGCTTACACGTAATCAGAGTGTCTAGTATTAGAAACTATAAACAACTTACACGTAATCAGTGTGTCTAGTATTAGAAACTATAAACAACTTACACGTAATCAGTGTGTCTAGTATTAGAAAAGATAAACAACTTACACGTAATCAGTGTGTCTAGTATTAGAAACTATAAACAATTTACACGTAATCAGAGTGTCTAGTATTCGAAACGATAAACAGCTTACACGTAATCAGTGTGTCTAGTATTCGAAACGATAAACAACTTGCACGTAATCAGTGTGTCTAGTATTAGAAACTATAAACAACTTACACGTAATTAGAGTGTCTAATAATCGAAACGATAAACAACTTACACGTAATCAGAATGTCTAGTAATCGAAACGATAAACAACTTACACGTAATCAGAATGTCTAGTAATCGAAACGATAAACAACTTACAAGTAATTAGAGTGTCTAGTATTAGAAACTATAAACAACTTACACGTAATCAGAGTGTCTAGTATTAGAAACTATAAACAACTTACACGTAATCAGTGTGTCTAGTATTAGAAACTATAAACAACTTACACGTAATCAGAGTGTCTAGTATTAGAAACTATAAATAACTTACACGTAATCAGAGTGTCTAGTATTAGAAACTATAAACAACTTATACTTAATCAGAGTGTCTAGTATTAGAAACTATAAACAACTTACACGTAATCAGAGTGTTTGGTATTAGAAACGATAAACAACTTACACGTAATCAGAGTGTCTAGTATTAGAAACTATAAACAACGTACATGTAATCAGAGTGTCTAGTATTAGAAACTATAAACAGCTTACACGTAATCAGAGTGTCTACTATTAGAAACGATAAACAACTTACACGTAATTAGAGTGTCTAGTATTAGAAAAGATGAACAGCTTACACGTAATCAGTGTGTCTAGTATTAGAAACGATAAACAACTTACACGTAATCCGAGTGTCTAGTATTAGAAACTATAAACAACTTACACGTAATTAGAGTGTCTAGTATTAGAAACTATAAACAACTTACACGTAATTAGAGTGTCTAGTAATCGAAACGATAAACAACTTACATGTAATCAGAATGTCTAGTATTAGAAACTATCTCTGATTACGTGTAAGTTGTTTTGTCTAATATTAGAAACTATAAACAGCTTACACGTAATCAGAGTGTCTAGTATTAGAAACTATAAACAACTTACACGTAATCAGAGTGTCTAGTATTAGAAACTATAAACAACTTACACGTAATCAGTGTGTCTAGTATTAGAAACTATAAACAACTTACACGTAATCAGAGTGTCTAGTATTAGAAACTATAAATAACTTACACGTAATCAGTGTGTCTAGTATTAGAAACTATAAACAAGTTACACGTAATCAGAGTGTCTAGTATTAGAAACTATAAATAACTTACACGTAATCAGAGTGTCTAGTATTAGAAACTATAAACAAGTTACACGTAATCAGAGTGTTTGGTATTAGAAACTATAAACAACTTACATGTAATCAGAGTGTCTAGTATTAGAAACTATAAACAGCTTACACGTAATCAGAGTGTCTAGTATTAGAAACGATAAACAACTTACACGTAATCAGAGTGTCTAGTATTAGAAACGATAAACAACTTACACGTAATCAGAGTGTCTAGTATTAGAAACTATAAACAACTTACATGTAATCAGAGTGTCTAGTATTAGAAACTATAAACAACTTGCACGTAATTAGAGTGTCTAGTATTAGAAAAGATGAACAACTTACACGTAATCAGTGTGTCTAGTATTAGAAACGATAAACAACTTACACGTAATTAGAGTGTCTAGTATTAGAAAAGATGAACAACTTACACGTAATCAGAGTGTCTAGTATTAGAAACTATAAACAACTTACACGTAATCAGTGTGTCTAGTATTAGAAACTATAAACAACTTACATGTAATCAGACTGTCTAGTATTAGAAACTATAAACAGCTTACACGTAATCAGAGTGTCTAATATTAGAAACGATAAACAACTTACAAGTAATCAGTGTGTCTAGCATTAGAAACGATAAGCAATTTACACGTAATCAGTGTGTCTGGTATTAGAAACTATAAACAACTTGCATGTAATCAGAGTGTCTAGTATTAGAAACTATAAACA